ATTCAATACGACCAAATGGTTCAAATATTCCGCGTAACATTTCTTCGGTAATATTGAAATGCAATGAACCAACATATAATTTCATCGGACCAGTTTGAGGCACGGTTGATTGTTGAAATGGAAATTGACTATTACCATTATTTGCATTAGCATTTTGATTAGCCAAACGATTTTTTTCAGCATTTGATGGTTTAATAATAATCGGTACACCTAATACTTTTTGTCCTGATAGTGAAATTGCTTGAGTAACACAATCCAAATCACGAAATTCAACATAAGCCACACCTTTGGATCGTCTTGTTCGTGGATCTGTTATCAGGCGCACATCTCGCACTTTTCCAACTTGTGCAAAAAATTCTTCTAAATCTCGAGGACGAATTCTGGCTGCTAGTTGCATACAAAAGACTGTACGCATATCACCTAAACGAAAAGAGATGAATGATCCTCTTGGTATTCATTAGAACTTTAACAAAGAGTGATAAACTTTTTAATGGTTATTTCTTTGCTATTATTTCCTTAAAAATTTTATGCAGTATAAGTTATGTTTTTGAACAAAAACAAAAGGAAAATACTGTTTAACTTACGTTCTTCCGGACTTAATTCGGGCGATTTATCACGTGCTCGAGATGCATGTGCTCGACTATCATTATCTTTTGGTGGTGAATGAGGTCTTAGATTCTTACTATTTGATTTACTGATTAAATTCAAATCACTGTTCAGATCGCGTGCTTTAGAATGTGTAGTGCTGCCTAATGTATCCAGCTTTGTTTTAGGAGGTGGTGATGGTGAATGATATTTTCGCTCTTTTGGCGGTGGTGGTGATGTTGGAGAATGACGGCGACGTAACGGCTCTTTATCATCGTCACGTCTATTTACAGTGTATTTTTGTTCTTTTTCTCGTATTCATGACTTAACTGAAAAAAATGTACTTAATCATGACCGTTGTCACGTGATTGTTGTTTACTCTGACGTTATACTTTATGTGTAATACTAATAAAATATGGTGGCTGTTTAGAGGATCTTTAAATATACGATAGGCAGAACAAACGTTAATAAAAGGTGATTTATATAGTTCGCCAGATGAAAGTTGGCTTTCTTTTTACTGTATATCGATACTCTGCCCTAGTCGAATGGAGATGCGAAAGTTGAACGAGTTGTGAGATGATTTTTGTTTATTAAAGGTGTATGTCATGTCACGTTGATAGTTTGTTGTTTATATGATAAACAACATCTGATAATCAAATGCCAAAGTCCGAATGTCATCTTCTATTTTTCATTTTACTATATATAAGACGGAGTATGAAACAGACACTATTTACAGAGAATATTTCTTTGTAAGTATCAATTTTTATTGGACATCTCAATTTGTGAAAGTCTTATGACAAATTAATTGAAGATGATTTATATAGGTAGTTAGTCAAGTATTTCTAAAAGAGAGAAAAATATCATAACATTAACCTTTTGTCTCTCTGATGCTCCTTTTGCTGCTATTTGTTTTACACGTCTAAAACGTGTAAGTCTAAGTGCAAAGGTAAAGTGTGATCAGAAATGAGTGTTAACTGATGAACAAACGATGAGACATCACAACGAATTCAAGAAATATGCTGCGCATAAATTATGTAATCTCATTTTTGCTGGAAAACTATCAGATTACCACTTATGATTAGTCATGCAGAGTAGAAATCAGAACTCCACCGAGTCTTCAATTTAACTTTTTTTATATTTTATTATGAAGTATAGTAGTATGCGTTTATCGGATTATACCTGTCTATAAGTATGCGTCAATTTTGTTCTTCGTAGATGATGTATACTACAGATATGGGTAAAATTTATTTTCGTGCCTTGTTGCTATTTATATTTGGCTGTTTATTAGCAATCGTTTTAATGTCATTTCAATTTGAATATAAAATGAGTTTATTTCATCCTGGTTTAATACTGACACCAGCTATATGGATTATATCATTTTGTGGATTTGGTACAGGTTAGTTGACAAAATTTCATTGCTGAACATGAAAACTAAGTTTCTTATTGTTGTTTTTAGTATTCATTGGATTATTATATCCAATTATATCAAAACAAACAGAATTTGTTAGCGAATTAGAGTATGACACAAAAAGATCGCAAGTGTGCAAATCGCTTGTCATCTTCTTTGGAATTAATCAGTTATGTGTTGTATCCTCTTGTTCTTTTTAGTTAGAATCTTGATGAAAATGTTTATTAATTCTTCTTAACTTGTATATCTATAGAAAATTCCATTTAGTAGCGATATCCATTTTACAATAACACTGGCATTTTTATGTACAGCATTTTGGTGGTGTTTTGATCGAACTATCGTTGGATTTTTATTTTCGTTGATATTATCACTTTCATTATCAGCAACAACTGAAATATTGCTGCGTGCTGGCGCTTTCAAGTAAGAAAAATTAATTTTATTCATACAATAATCTGTAAAATTTTTGTATTGTTATATCTGTTCTAGATATTCTGATTCAGATTTTTATCTCAAAACATGTGTACCTTGTTTAACATTTGCTGGTGTAATATTGACGATACAATTAACGAAACTTCTATCTCAGGTACGTAGATAAGAAAATACGTGATCAAGGTGATGTAGTTAGTGTTTGATCTTTCTCGTCTACTTGCTTTTTATCATTAAGAAATTCTATTTCAAACTATGTCTTACTCTCACATTGATCTATTTTAGCCATTGCCACCTGTTCGGCTCACTCATCAGAACGAAATTCATGTGAAACAAGAGTAATAAAGTTACAACTAGCTATTGTTGATAAAGTTTATTTGATAAGTCAACTATGTCATATATATCTATATACGTATGAAATGGCGAATGCTTATTGTCTATTTTAGAATTTTATGTTAACGAAAATTTTGCAATATTTACCTGTTATGAAGTATAAGATCTATTTGTTGTATAATTTTCAATTATTTATTCTAGTCGTTTAAATGCTTAGAAGGAGAGAGTAACAATGGATTTATCTTGTTTGCTGTCTTTCTTTCGTCTCTTTTTAAAAGAGTAAAGGAGTTTAATTAGTTAGACAAACTGTAGTTTTTCACAGACTGATACATTTAGAAGACTAGTTATAGAATGAATGACAGTTCAATAGAATATGTTTATAATACTTTTGATGATTAAAAATCATTCACAGAAAAATATATTAACAAATCGCGTCTTGATATCTTTAATAATTTTGAACATTGGTTTAAATTACCAATATTTAATCTTAGTTCTCAGTCTTACGTTAGCATATTTGTTCATAGAATAGCTACGATGGTAAAAACTTACAGTTTATCTGACTTTTCTTCTTTTTTTTTCCATGAACATATTAGTGTTTGTTATTTCGATTTTTTCATGGATCATATCAGAGCTGATCACCTTCGTAATTTTCCACCCCTGCGCGGTCACCGCGCAGGAGCAAAATAAAATCTACCCGCGTTGCAGTTTGCAGGTTAGAAAAAAATCTTTTGTTCTGCACAGGAAGAGGTTAAGGGTGGAAACTTCTGCACTGTTCTGCCCTCCAGGTCGACTGTAGGTGAACCCTAAGGCGAGGTATAACAATTTTTGTTCCTACTGACCGCTATCAATCTGTATTACACACTGGTAATTATAGGCTATGTTACCAGTTACGATTCACTATTCTTGTTCTATATTTTTCTCTTCAAGTGATAAGAGGGAATTTTAGATGTTGGGACAGAGGAGACAATTCTCTATCCAGCTATGTAAAAAGTTTTCAAAACTAATTTCGTTTGACTTAATTACAATGATAAAAGGAAGAGGTACACACAAAAACGACTTTCCCTGCAGTGAATGCAGATAAAATTTTCTCCCTTGCGGGGAAAATTTTTTCATTCATCTGCAAGCTGCAACCTGCCTGCACTACCTGCAGCTTTCAGCCAGTTTAAAATGTAAGTGATCAGCTCCGGATCATACCTTATTTGCTTGCTGAACTATTATTTTTAGCTGTACATAATCGTTTTTATAACAACGATAAACAAAAACTTTTGACTTAGCTATGTATATATATATATATTATTTTTTATTTGATAACAAATGTGCTAATAATGGTTTTCAAAATACTAGGTTAAGACTTTTGCTATGTACAACATGTGTAAAATATAAATATTCTACTATGGTAATGAAATTAGATTTTTAGGGTTGTGAAGTAAACAGACAAACTCAATTGTCTAGGAAAGGTGATACATTTCATATTTAGCTGCATTGTTCAATCAAAAGGATTTTATTGTTTTTTCCTTGGATTTGATCAATTAGATAAAGGAATTATGAATATCAAATGTAATGCCACGTTGTCATTTGATACTTTCAAAATTAGTATTGAAAAATGTTTATGTGAATAAAAATTATTTAAATACAAGTTGGCTTGAATCATCACAAGACTAATAAATTTGATATTTAAAGCAAATAAATAGATCGATAAATGTCGAAGTAAAAGAGTAGAGGGTAGAGAATTTTGAGTTCCATCTCATTTATCAGTCAATCGGATTTGCCGTTAATTAATTAACTGAACTTTATTAAAATCAAAGTGTACACCCATTTTTTTCGACATACGTGAATTTGGATAATTATAACTCTATTACCATCTTTCGTGAGATAGCGGATGTACCAAAAAAATGATATAATTTTCATTTTCACTTTTCCCCCTCTCCCTTCGAATTCACAAGTTCATCTTATTGCCGAAACATTCTCCATTCATTTCTCTACAAAATGGTGTATAGAAGACGATCATAAGGTTTGAGACGCTGTCTTAATTGAACAAACATCGAAATGTCCTAAAGACTTAAAAAATTAAAATTTTTTCCGATGATAATTTTGAAGTTTGAGCTCAATTTTGAAAGTGATAGGAAGAAGATAGCACATAATATCTTAGGACGTCCTCTTTCAGATGGCGCAAGACTCATTTCCTTCCAATCGATCTGATGTGGTAAAAATGACTAGTTAATAACTAGCAGCGATTACTGAACAAAACGCGCTAGTTTCAGCATCTTCATTATTCAGAAAAGTTACATCAATCGTTTCGTACATGAGTCGAGTAGAACAAACATTTGTCTTCAAAATGACGCAAGAATGAGCCGGATTGGTTCAGTCTTGTCTGAGCAATGTTCATTTTACAAATAGCCCCAAAGTGCAGGTTGCAAACCACGTTTTATTTAACAGTAGATATTTATTGAATGAGCATTGATTTTGAATTATGAATGAGTGAAACAGACAAAGATTAGAGATAATATTGAGGAAAATAATAATGCAAAAAGAGATGCGAATATTGTCACACAAAACAAAGTAATAATAGTAGATATCATTTGACTAGATACATTTTAAATACGGCTAACACATAGTTACGTTGTATGCAAGTATGAAAACAAAAGTTCAGCCACAACAATCTCAAATTTTTTCAGCTTTTATTCTCGGGTACATCAGGTGAATGTTAATGGTAAAAAATGATTTGTCTCTCTTTAAACACGTAACATAAACATTAGACTGCCTGTTAGAATTAGAATTGACAGATGCACGTTAAGTTGACATGACCATGATGATACCACTTGTTTGTCATCTGAAACAAGAAGAATTTTTTCAGTGCCATGTCGAAGAAAAACAGCAGATGTGATGTAAGTTTTTTGAGAGTAAGAACTTTTAGGAGAATGTGCATTCTCTTTGCTGCTTGCTGCTACAATCTTCTGAAAAGACTTTGCTCTAAAAAAGCCAGGGAAAAATCTTTTAATTAGAAGAATGAAGCAGGATCAAAAAGCAAATATGGTGTACATTACACCTATTACCACGGAACTGAATATTTTACTGGATTTATCCAATTCCATTAGTGTCATACCTTTATTTTGTTGTTGCTCTCGTTTGAGTAATGGTGTTCGTGTTTGATTATTATAGGACAATAATTTTTGTTGTTGTTCTTGTTGTTGTTGCATAAAATCATCTGTAGTCAAATTATACGAGATAAAATTGGTTGACTGAACGCGAAAAGGGATCGTATTGTTGAACAACGTTTCCGCAAATAGGTGACTAGTGGTAGAAAGAATTGAATCTAAACGTATCGGACGACGAGTGGATGATGTTCGACGATGCTCTTAAGTTAAATATAGTCGTTCATTCCCTTTCAAAGAATCATTTTATCATTGACTCGGTATTTACCTTTGAGTTCAACAGTCGCATTACTTCGTCCAGTTATACTTTCAGCAATACACATATAAAAGCCATAATCTTCTTTTTGAACATCCTAAACCAGAATAAAAATGTAGCTATTAGCTCCAATTCTGATTGTGTGATCTTTTTGAAAAAAGTTATATAGTGGCAGTGGCTACAGTAAGACGATATATATTATTTAGTCCGATGATTTGTGTCAAATTGATTTAATATTGATAAAAAATAATGCAACTATCTAGATCTTTCTGAATCAATCATATTCCATAGACTTATTTTTTTCAGAACAACTCTATTTAGTCAACCGTTGACATTTATCTTCCTAAAGTTATTCAAATAATAATTAAAAACTAAAAAAATAAGAAAATAATGTTTCACTAAACAGTTATGAAAAAATACTAATTTATACAAAATCATCAATCATAGACGTATAGAAAAGAAAGTTTCCCTGTTTTTGTTTGTTATTATCTGATCATTTGATTTTTCTAAATAGAATATAGTCAAAACTTGAAGTTGGTCAAATCTTATGCTTTCTCTAAGCAAAAGCAGTAGTCAAGTTTTGCCCAGACAAAAAACTTAATCACTGAGTCCACATTTGTTTAATTACAACTGAAAATATAAATGTCGAGACAAATATCCGTTTTAACTACAATTTAAGTATAGTGGATGAAAAAGAAGATTTGTTGAACAAACCTTGATATTTAGAGTAGCATGAAATGTATCTGAATATCCATGTTGAGATTGCCAAAATTTTGTAGATTGTTGTTCGACAGTATTTGGAGAAAATAATTCATTCATTTTTTTCCACGTAATTGTAGTATCTGGTGGTGCTTGTACAATACATTTTAAATTTGCTTGTTTTCCAATTGAACTGTAAACAAGAACTGGATTTGCTTGAATTGTAGGAACAACTGCAAATAAAATAGTTCAAAATAATGTAACTATATTCGTTTTGCGTTTGAAATGTTATATTATCTGCATACGCTCATTATTAGAGATGTTCGGTTCTGGAACTGTAATGGCGGTTTCGATTCTCGAGTTAGAACCGACCCGAAAATAACCGCGATTCCGGTTCTCGACTTAGAACCGAAACAAAAAGAACCGCAGTTCCGGTTCCCGACTTAGAACAGAACCACGGTTCTCGGTTCTCAGCCTGGAACCGGAGAAGAATTTTTTTTTAATTTCAAAAAGGAAGTTTACAAAACCGCGGTTTCGGTTCCATTGTTAGAACCGATAACACGATTCTGGTTCCCGATGAAGAACCGAAAACAAGAGAACCGCGGTTCAATTTCTTAACGAGAACCGAGAACCGAACATCCCTACTCATTATAGAGTGGAACGTCACATCTCATACCGAGTGTTATTTAGTTTGAGATTATTAAGTGACCAAATTTTTCAATATTTCTCTGACGCTGTACTAATTTTAATTAGAATTTAACATATATTCTTGCTATCAATCATCAATGCAAAATAAGGGTATGGTTAAACAAAAGAAAGGAGTGAATTCGAGTTCGTTTTTGTTTCTCTCTATCCAATACAGACGGTGAGAACATATTCCTAGAATGTAATTGATATTATTTCAAACATTTTGAGAAATTTAACATTCAAAGTTGATAATACTATTTATAATATACTAATTACAACAGCACCCTATTATAGTTTTTGTTTCTTGCAAATATTCTTCATCAAATTTGATTTGTCCATTATCTACACTATTCCTTTTCAGCTCTTTTACATTTTAGGTGAGAATCTCTTCTTTGAGATCGAGTCCATTGATCTTTTGTTCACAGACATTATCCAGTTTCTCTCTCTCAACACTGCACACATCAATATTTTTGTAAATATATGCAAGAGAAGAAGAAAAATGATGAGAAGGCCGAACAAGCGATCGAATCGATTTTTAATCTGTTTGCATTGTAAAAAACCGCATTCTAATGTGTTCATTTTTTAAAATATTATTTTTTATTATTATTATCATAAAAAGAAAAAAACCTAGTGAGAAGGTTAATCAGCAAAAAGAATAAAATATCAGTAGCCCACGTAACAAATAGAAAAAAATGCGTTTGTTTGATACACACGCTTCAAGGGCGATTGGGTGTGGCGTCACCTTATTAAATACATATGACTCTACAAAAAAATCTTGATGAAGGTTATGTTGTACATCGAAATGATGATCACCATTATCATATTGTTTGAGAAAAATCAAATTTTATAATATAGGAAAACGTTTTTGTACGTTTATCTTTCCTTCTTTCAAATGTACAGGAAAATAATACAAAATAATCTGAATTATTTATTACCACTTTGTGAATCATATCGAGGTTTCAAAATCGTTACTTAATGAATTGATTCTTAAACTATGAGACAAAAATAAATCTAAGAAGATATGATGTCCGAATTTGTGTGTGTCTACCTTTATTTATTAATTAATCAAGCTTATTTTGTCTTGATTTTCTTAAGAGAGCCAGGTTTTTAGTAATCTTTTTAGTATTTCTTTTCTATACAGAATACATCTGATCTTAGACACTTCTTCAGAAAATATAGACTTCAATGTAATCAAGTTAATTCAGAATTCATTTAAGAGTTTTATGTGATATCTGGGTCAAAGATAGATCTGTTTGTATGCAGACTTCAAAATAGCTGCAATACTCGGGATAAATCTACAAAATTTTTGATACGTATGCAAAGTTGAATAGTCAACTTTTCGCATTTCAACATCGACACTTTTCTATCGAACAGAAGCAGATTCGAAATTAGTTTGCGTATTCTGATTTAGGCTTTGGCACAAATAATTCTTTTAATCAGGATGCGTTACACCATGGCGGGAAAAGAAACGATACTAGCGCCAAAAACTGCTAATAAGAGAATACAATGTGTTTTGTAACAGAATATCCACAACGGGCATTCCACGAAAACGTGCTTCCGACACTTCTTTCGCTCTTTTCTTGTCTTTATCTTTTGAATAGAAGAACACCAGGAGCGAGCGATTGTCTAGTTTTGTGCAAAAGTGTGCGCTTAACAATATGAGACGTGTCACAGCTTTCTAGGATCCGTCGTTAAGAAGATATAGTGAAGATTTTCAGTATTGCTTATAAAAATTTTCTTTTTTTGAACAATGTTGTCGTCGTTTTGTTGATATATCGCCATAACTAAGAGCGTTAGGGAGCTCTGGCACATTTTATCTTATTAAACACATTTTTTCAAGAAAGTAGATAATCGCGAGCTCCTGACGTTCTTCTGTTTTCGAAAGAGATAAAGATAAGAAAATAAAGTGAGCAAAGTGTCGAAATGACATTTTCAATTACATGGAATGGGCGATAATAGCTTTTTAAAATAAACTGGCACGCAGCAGTACTATGTTGTATTTTGACGAATGGAGATTATTCTACAAATCCAGATACTTCAAAAAAAAAGAATCAATTCATTATAGATTAAGGAAAATAGTCATTTTAAATAACTCTGTTTCTTGAGGACTTGTGAAACACCTTTTTAAAAAAATTGTAAAAACTCATTGTCAGATATAAATAATTATAGATTTTAGTAGTTCAAACTATTTGCTGATATGTGCAACAATGAATTTTACTTTTGAAAAATTTTATAATTAAGAGGATTCTTAAGTTGCATGTTAATTTTGTTGCCAGAATACGTTGAATCAACTAAAATTTGGAATAATTTTTTTTTATCACTCAATATGCAATATAAAAAAAAAAAGAAGGAAAAACGCTATGTTGTACGTCACAGACATCGTAAGGGGATTAATCGGATGTGAACATACAAGAATATTCAGCTTGGATGCTTATTAGATACGAAGGAGGAACAAAATTATTTAAAATAAAAGATTTATCCTACTAATGAGGACGTTGGTGTGATCTGCGTCAAAAATTAAATATTCAGAAGAAAATGTGATCAGTAATGCAAATAATGCAATATAAAATTTTTTAGTAAATATTCAAATCATATTTAATATTTCTTGAGTACTGAAGCTTTATTTAACACCTTTTTGCTTATGGTTAATGTGCGTCATATTTTAATAATAAATAGTATTTATATTTGCTAAGATAGATTAAACTGTCACTACGAAAAAGGGCATGATTTTTTCAGATTTTCTAAATTACAACAAGTAAAAAGTAATAATTTCCAATTTTAAGGAATTATGACCTATATAGAGTATATATGTGTATATATATAATGATAAGAGCTAAACGGAAACATTTTTCATAGCATCAGATAATCATTTGTATTTATAACCATCTCTTCTCAATCTTTTAAAGAGACGTCAGTCATTAAACAGCTCTGTAAAGAATACTGTAATTTCAGTCAGCTAGTTCTTAATTAACACCACTTTTTGACCTCATTCACACTTGGCCGCCCTCTGATATTTGTTTGATGTTAATTAAACTTCTAAATTGAGAACATAATTTATAAGAAAAATGGTCTCAGTTAAGAAGACACGTTTCAATCCCATTGAGAAATTGTCGAACTATTTAACTAAGTGCAAAATATGTTCTTTATCACAATCACTCAAACGTAGCTTTGGGTCAAATACATGTTTGCAAAAATATTTGGCTAGTTTTGCTCTCTTGTAATAATCATGGATAAAAAAATATTTTTAAAAACATTATTCTTAGCTCATTTCTTTATTCATAAATAGCCTATTAAACTATTTAAATCTCATACGTAGACATACAATTGAAAGTGAATGTATTTCCTTTGTTTTTAATTCATTTAAAGTAGCAGAAATTTGAAATTTAGTTTCGCTTTGAGAGCGAACATAAATATTCCCAGTGGTTAAATATTTTGTTGCAATTTCATATTTTTGTATTACAAACAAGTATATATTTTTTGTTACAGAAATCAAAACAAAAAAAAAATCAGAGAGAAATAAAAAGAAGCTAACAAACAAATGGACACAAGATATAGTAAAAAGAACATATGTAAAACATATTCTTGATTTCTTTTTTCTAACACAAAAAATAAAGTCTAAATAGGGAAAGAAAATATACAGTATGTCGTATAAATAATTCCTGGAGAGTAGAATAGAATAGAGCAATATAACTATAAAACAGGTACAACATTGATACATGGCTCAATCGAAAATGAACAAAAGAACATCAACAAACAAAAACCAGCCTTGTAACGGTAGAAGATGAGAAAAATGATAAATATCTCAATATAGAAAAATTCAGACAATGAATAGATTCTAGAAACAACGTTCTCTTTTTATTAATGAGCCAGCCACAATTCAAACGTAAGAGGGGTCATTTCTTCCTCGGTCATCATCATTTTTCAAAAAAAACACTCACACACACACAAATAGACAATTAAACTAGCCATGAAGTACACATTTATTTATAGTATCATGGTGCACTGCCACGGATACGTATGAATGAGATTTTCACCAACAAAAAATAAAAACCATCGAGGTCTCAAAAAAAAAAAAAGCACACACACACATCTCAATAGAAGAGATCAACAATAATAATAAAGACGAAGACGAATGAAGAAACGAATCAAAAGAAGTGATTGATTGATATTCTTACTGGGTGGACTAAATGACTATGTAAATGAGGTAGTTACCTGTTTAAGACAAAATACGATTGTCATGCTTGATGAAAACAGAGCAGAAGTGAGCGATCATGTTGGATATAAGTGATCGATGAATGAATGAAACTAAAAAACTGTTTGAAGCTCTTTAAACTAAACTGGCTGATCGTCTATAACTGTTCCAATCACTGTTTTCAGTGATCACTGTCTAAAAAGTACAAGTATTAAACACATTATCAAAACTGCTCATCTTGGAGATCAGTCATCATATGGCGTTATATAGAGAAAAGGATATTAGAGCGGATGAATTGAAAGCGGAATATATGAAAACAGACATGTATACTTAATCACCGAGTAGCGAAAATTCAAAAAAGCGTAACAACATCAAGTCCATAGAGAAATACACACACCTATGCCGTCTGATGAAATCTTTCAGCTTGTACCCATCGCATAAATTGGAATGATATTACTTCCAGTCTTGTTCATCCCACATTATGGATTATACATAACCAGTTTATATCACAGAATATATATAGTTCTATTCAACACATGTTCTATTCATACTTGTGAAATTATTGCTGGTAATGCACACCGACAAGCTTCAACAATCATATTTGGTATAAATTGTCGAACAATTGATTTATCTTCTGTTGCATATAATAATTCGAGACCACCCGTTCTTGAATATGAACAACATTGATGATTCACACCCGTGTGTGTTTCACTAAAAACTAATAAATTTTGATGTGGTGAATTTTTCATATGTGATGCTTTTATTGATGTTAAATTGCATAGCCCAACGCATTCACCAATATCTAATATTCGAGGATAAATGATAAAATTTAATGAATTTGAATAACTAAAATCTAATGTTAATGAACGGCGGCAACATGGACTTGATGATGAACATGTGTGACGATTTCTTGCACGACGTGGACGATGTTGAGGTTTGCCTGTTTTCTCACCATATTCTACGTACAAATAAGGACTATATTCTTGTTCATCATTATTAGCATCATCTTGTTGTTGTTGCTCTTGATCACTACTGCTACCACTACTAATACTACCACCATTAATGTAATCCTCAAAATATGATGGATATTCACCTTGTGGTAGAGATAAATCTTTACTTATGGCAATACCAGATGGTACATACATTAAAATCTCATAGATGGATTTCAAACTTGTTTTATTAAATGTTAATTCATACCAGTCTTTAACACGTTTCACTTCTGATATACTAATTCTTTCACTTTTTATTTTTTCAAATGAATTTAATAATTTTTCGCTATATGTTGCCAATTCATTTGGCACAGGACGAAATATTGTGTATATTTTAAACATATCTGGTATTAATCGTTGATTTAAATTTTGAAAATAGCCACTTTTTATATATAATCTTATGGAATTAATCTCTTGATCCGTTGGTAATGGTGCAGTTTTACTTTTTTGTTTCAAAAATTGATAACATTGAATATCATTAGACGGGAAACCTTGATCGCGTAATCGTTTTTCACATGAATGATTATGAAATTGTTGACCAGGTATAAGAACACGTTCATATGTTGTTAAATCTTCAGGAACATAAGCACTACTATCTTTTTGTAGCGATGGTATTTGATCTGGTTCTAATTGTTTTATCATTACACCAGGTATTGATGATTTTTCATTATACGCTGATATATTTGGTGCATTCTTAATTCTTAAACGTTGTAATAATAATTTTGTAAATGATTCTAGTTGATTTTTTGTGGCACGAACCAATGTACCACCAGAATTTTTACTGTTTCTAAAAGGATTCATCACACCATCTGGTACAGCTTCTTCTACTAAACGTAGTACATCATTAAAATTTGGCTCTGATGCTTCAGTTGCATCAAGACTCTGCCTTCGAGATCTTGATTTAACAACTTTTTCTTGTTTACTATCATGTTGATATAACTCACTGGCCTTTATTAACGAAAGATGATGATCATCGTTCGTATCTTGAATTGTTTGTTTATCAATTGTATTATCTAGTAGTGATGCCGATTTAATTTCGATGATAATAGTTGACAATAATAACAGTGAATAAATTAAAATGATATTTTCAGATTGGATAATATTTAATCGTTTTATTACTGAGCTCATTATGAGAGATTAGATGCGAGTGATTGAGTAGAACTAAAGGATATAACGAAACAATTGAAATTATTGGGATCAAGACACAGTCAATCTATGTGAAAATACAATGATTCCTCAATCTATTCGTTATTAGATTATCATTTTATATAATTTTAACAAACTCTGATGAATTTTTTTGTAAGAAAACATATTCTCAATTGATATGAACAAACAACTTCTTTTCTTTGTTTTTCTGAGACTCGGCAATTGACTAACAATTTATACAAAATACACAATATATCAGAAAAACTACAACTGTTTGTAAGGGGATGATTCTGTTCAAAATATTACTAAAGAAAATTAAATTAAATTTTCGTATCTGACCTTGTCACTCCTTGTTGTTATGTTCAATTATTTTACCACTAGTTAACAATTTTTTTTTTATACAAGAAATGAACAAACAGATTCTACAATACCTTTATGTTTTTCTGATGATATTTTCACTTCCAAACCGTTTTTAACAAAAAAAACTTGTTCGTTCCTTCCTATTAATATCGGAGCATGTAAATATTTATATATATATATATATATATATAAATGTATCGACGATGAAGATATACAGTTGATGACGTGAACGTTTAGGCTGATTTTTTTTGTTGAAAAAAAAAGAAATATTTTTTTTCTTTTTATTCTGAAAATATCATCAAAATATTGATAATCATCTGTAATTTAAATTGTTGTTTGTTACTGCTGTTATCACTATTGCTGATGTGAACAAGTGTAGGTGAGGAAAAAAGAGACAGAGAAGAGAGCTCAACAAAAAAAAAGAAAAAAATTCATAATATAATAATTTTTTTTTTCTTCTGGTAATGGCAACAAAAAAAATGAGAGAAAATGTAGAAAATTAGAGAGATGTAAAGAAAATAAGAGAGAAAGATCACTATAACTTGCGAGGGACAGCAGAGAGTGAGTGGTCGTATAAGTATAAACACACACACACACACACACACACACACACACACACACACACACACACACAAACACAC